TCCCTGTGCTCTCCTTCTCCCTCCTGAGTCAGCTCTGATGACAGGGCTGTGGTCTGGGCCCAGCATGGTCCTTCAGAGCAGCCAAACATTCCCTGGGGTCCTACTGTGTGCCAAGCTCTTGCCTGAGCTCTGTGGTAGATATATTTCATCTCCGTCTGATGTGCAATACAGAGATTTAATGTGCAAACAGACTAAAGCAGCGTCGTTGCAGGGTGCTGGAGCTATGATGGAAATGAAGCAGAGGTGACAAAGTGATGGCTGCTACTGCAGATTGGTTGGGGAGAGCTGAGGAGGTGACTCCAGGGGAAGGGTATTCCAGCCAGAGGGAACCACAGTGCAGAGGCCCCAGGCAGGAATGAACAATGAGGAGACCCAGTGGCCCATGAAGAGGAGAAGAAGGCCAAGGGGTCAGGAAACAGGTCATGCCTGCCCTTCTGGCTGGGGTGAGGAGTTTGGTTTAGTCTACCCTACCCCCACTTGTTTGTCATCTGAGCCCTACTCGGCTCAGCTGGACTCTGCTTCCACACAGACTGCCATGTCAGAGGCAGACAATTATTACACACGGAGAAGGGCCTGAGCAGGCCTGGGGGTGGGCGTATGCCTTACGGTGTTGGAGAGACATTGAGCAGACTGGCCGAGAACTCTGTAGGGTCCTACCCCACGTGGCCACCACCCCTCCTGCCATCAGGGGCTGGGTGAGAGGAATCACTGAAGCTAAAGGAAGCAGCGGTTTCCAACCCCAACCCACAGTACTGGCTGAGCACCGTGGCCCGAAGCCCCTCAAGTCCAGGGTTGGTGGCTCTCTCCCCAAACATACCTCCCAGCTAACATTTCCTTCTTGACATGAAGCATGATTTCTAGACCAGGGACACAGCTACAACCACATAACAAGTTTCGCTGAACTGACATTTTATTTACCTTTTGAAAAAACAGTTTCCAAAATTTTAAACATAGATCTGGATCCATATGTTGATTCAACCACTTCTTTCCCTGGAGCCCCGGGACAGTGGCAGCAAAAAGAGCCAAAGCCATGGTGTGCAGAGACATCAGGAACACTAGCTGGGTCACAAAAGCCACATCCTAGGACTACAGGATCTTCTTTCAGTCCCAGGGTGATGGCCATGAGGTGAACATGCCCAGAAAGGCTCTGAGAATCCAGGAAACCTGTAGATTAATTGCTGACAGTGACCTTAGACACAGGGAACAGGTTTGCAATTCCTGAGAAATTCTGCATGCCACACCCTGTGAAACCATGGTTCCTGGAACATTTGTGGGTGCCTCTTTAGAACCAGCTCAAACCCTCTCGTTTACCAGATTCCCCACTCCACATGACCTCACTCAGTGCTTCTGTGTCCACTTACTCTTTCCAACAGGCCCCTGTAGGACTTATGGCCAGTTTAGAACTTACCTCCATGTTCTCGATTTCAGAGGGCATGGCTTCTGAGCTGATTCTGGAAACAACTTCTTCTAACCAATGCTGGAGATTGCGGAACATTCCCTGGGAACAAGGAACCCAGGTGTTTGTCCCTAGTCACCCGGGGATCTTATACCAACCACCCCATTCTTCAGGTGAGCTCTGGATCCTCAAGTAAACCTGACATCCAGGCTGAAGATTTATCCACAAAGCCCTTCAATCTTTCCCTGGAGGTCTCAGGCACCAGTGCAAGTTAGGCCAACCTTGACTGGAGCTGTCCTCTGCCATCCTGCTGGCCCTGGCCCCACTGAGGCAGACAAAAGTCAGGGAACCCCACAGAAACCGTTCCCTCTATCCATGAGCCCAATTGTGTTCTCAATCCTTCCACACACAGATCCCAAAGATTAAGGGTGGTTTAAACAAAAAGGCCTAAAGATTACCAGACATTCCAGAGCAGTGTGAGCCAGTTCCAGGGTTGGATAAATACACGACAGGGACCAAATGTAGTGTCAACGTGTCCATGAAAATGGTTAACCTTCCCTGGAAGGCCCCAGCAGACACTGCTCAGCTACTCTTGGCCAGAACTAGGTCACGTCCACACCTAAACCAGTTGGAGGGGGAGAGAATAAGACCCATTATGGGCTCCACCACTCATGATTCTCTCCTTTATCAAGTGGGGAACACAGAGGTCAGCATCCCTGAGCACACACAGTGACTGATGCACACCACGGGGACCTGCCAGGTGGTAGAAGTGGGATGGCTTCTGTCACAGAAACTGGCAGTGACTCAACACTGCCAACAGCCTGGGCAGGTGAGAGTGCAACACAGCTCCTGAACGCTTCCCACGTACCTGGCACCAGCCCAGTGTGGGTACTGGGGTGTGACATGTTTAGCTTTCAAATGGCTACTCTCCTCAATCTCCTTTCTGGAGTGAGACGTTTCATGTTGAACAAGGTGCCAGCCATGTCTAAAGGTTTTCCCACATCCCCGTCCTCCTATGACCTTTCTCCATTGTGGACTTTCTTGTGCTGAAGGAGGGTAGAACTATGTTTAAAGGCTTTCCCACATTCTGTACATTCATAAGCCCTCTCTTCAGTGTGGAACTGCTGGTGCCGATTCCGGTAGGACCTGGTAGTGAAGGTCTTCCCACACAGGCCACACTCGTAGGGACGTTCTCCAGTGTGGACTTTCCAGTGCTGATACAGCCCAGAGCGGGTCACGTAAGTTTTCCCACATTCACTGCACTCATAGGGCCTCTCTCCAGTGTGAACTCTCTGGTGAAGAATGAAGCTATGGTTGTATTTGAAGAATTTCCCACATTCCCTGCACTCATAGGGCCTTTCTCCAATGTGAACTTTCCGGTGCCGAATGAGGGTAGACAGAACGCTGAAGGACTTCCCACACTCACTGCACTGGTAAGGCCTCTCTCCAGTGTGAATTCTCTGGTGCAGAACAAGTGCATCTTTGCGGTTGAAGGTTTTCCCGCACTCACCACACTTGAAAGGTTTTATGCCAGTATGAACCTTCTGATGCTTCCTCAGTTTAGATGGGTAACTGAAGGCCTTCCCACACTCACTACACACATGGGATGTTTCTCCAGTGTGAGTTTTTCGGTGATGAACCACGGTTGAGCTCTCCTTGGGGGCATTTCCACCTGCTGGGCACCTGAAGGGTCTCTCTTTGGCGTGAGTGATCAGGTGGTCGAGGAGCGCGAAGGCCTTCAGGAAGGCTTGCCCGCAGTCGCTGCACTTGAAAGGCTTCTGTGTGGCGTGGGCTCCCTGCCGTTGCTGGCAAGTGAAGCTGGGTGGGAAGGCCTTGCGCTCGGTGCTTCTGCGTGGTGTCCCCTCTCTGTGGGTGGCCTGGGGCTGGAGGAAGCCTAAGGCGGCAGGGATGTCCTTCCCAGACACCCTGCACAGAAAGGGGTTCTGTGACAGGCGGAGTCTGTGGCTCTTCACCTGCTCGGGAGGGGCTTCCTCATCCCGCAGTCTACACAGAAAACCTGAGACAGAAGAGTCAGTCACTGAGAGCAGGCTTAGACGGAAGAGGCACCATCATCATCAGTGCATGTCAGACACACCCATAAAGGAGTCCACAGAATTGCCAGGAGGTTGCAAGGAAAGGTCTGGATGAGGAAGGGCTGGCCCAGTGGAACAGGGCTCTGCCAGAGCCCAGAATAGGGGAGACCTCAACAGGGACCAGGACACAAAGATGGGAGCAGTGCAGGGAAGGGATTCAGGGCCTCTAAGTGACTCCTGTGCAAAGGGTATCAGCAGGGCCTTAGCTACTGGGGACAGCAAGCACTGTGAAGAGGCTGTGTCTACTCCAATGAAAACATGACTGTGACACAGTAGCTGGTGCTCAAGTATTACTGAAGGATATGTACGCATCTCAAATCACACACACAGGAGGTCACAGTTGACAGCTCTGCACTGGCACAGAGGAGAGGAAATGACAAGACACAGAGGCCAGAGAGGTGGGTCATCCAGAGCCATGGGAGAGACAGCAAGACCACACAGTGAGTCCACAAGAGGGGAGAGGAAAGGTGGGAATAAGGTGTGGTCACTGGTCCCAGCACCAAAATGCCAGTGTACTCAGATACCCATCACTGAAACCAAGGCACCCCCTAGCCCCATTCACCAAGACCAGGACCCATCCTGGCCTCTGCTCTGCTGACCACAGTCATATCCAACATGTTGGGCACCCAGGGCTCTTCCTCACCCTTCATTTGGGCCACCTCACCCTTCATAGGGACCTCAAAGGTGCAAAGCCTAAGAGGTAGAAAGGTAATAAGATGCCAGCCCAAATCAAGGCTGACCCATCCCTACATGTACCACAGGAAGCTCATGTCACCATGACAACCAGGTAGGAAACCAAGTATTAGGACATGAACCTCTTCTGTACATTTTTTCAAAAAATTGTCAGAGAAGCAATTGTAATGTTCATCTTTTTAAATTTATTTTTTAAGTTGAAATATAGTTGATTTACAATGTTGTATTAGTTTCCGGTGTTCAGCAAAGTGATTCAGTTATATAAATATACATATATATTCTTTTCCATTATAGATTATTACAAGATAGTGAATATAGTTCCCTGTGCTATACAGTAGATCCTTGTTGGAAACTCTTCTGTACATTTAAAAATTTGTTAAGAAGGTAGATCTCATGGTCTATTTGCTTTACCACAATTTTTTTAAAAAGACCCTTCTGTGAAGCAAAACTGACATAACTAAAGAAAGAAATAGACAAACAATAATATTTAGAGACTTCAATTTCTAACTTTCATATATGGATAGAACAACTAGGCAGAAAATGAACAAGGATATAACACATGAATAACACTAAAAATCAACTAGACCTCCAAGACATCTATAGAACATGCCACCTAACAACAGGAGAATACATATTCTCCTCCATTCTCACATGCACATGGAATATTCTCCAGAATAGACCATTTGCTAGGATATAAAACAAGACTCAGTAGACTTCAGACAATTGAAATCATACAAAGAATGTTCTCTAACCACAAAGGAATTAAAAGAGAAATCAGGGCTTCCCTGGTGGTGCAGTGGTTGAGAGTCTGCCTGCCGATGCAGGGGACACGGGTTTGTGCCCCGGTCCGGGAAGATGCCACATGCCGCGGAGCGGGTGGGCCCGTGAGCCAAGATCCCACATGCCGCGGAGCGGGTGGTCCCGTGAGCCAAGATCCCACATGCCACGGAGCGGCTGGGCCCGTGAGCCACAGCCGCTGAGCCTGTGCGTCCGGGGCCTGTGCTCCGCAATGGGAGAGGCCACAATAGTGAGAGGCCCGCGTACCGCAAAAAAAAAAAAAAAAGAAAGAAATCAACAACAGAAAGAAATTTGGGAAACTCATAAATTTTTAAAAATTCGTTCCCATTATGGTTTATTACAGGATATTGAATATAGTTCCCTGTGCTATACAATAGAACCTTGTTGTTTATCCATTCTATATATAATAGTTTGCATCTGCTAGTCACAAACTCCCAATCCATCCCTCCCCTGCCCCCCGCTTTCCCTTGGCAACCACAAGTCTATTCTCTATGTCAGTGAGTCTGGGAAACTCACAAATTTATGGAATTTAAATTAAGTACTCCTAAATAACCACAAGGAAAGTTACAAAACATTTTGAGATGAAAGAAAAAGAGAACACAACATACCAAAAGTTATCAGGAAAAGTATTGCTTAGAGGGAAAATTACAGAAACATCTCTGAGCTGTCTTATTCACAACACTTCTGACACCACACGCATGGGGGCTTTTCCCACACCATTCCTCCAGCTCTCTGACACCAACTGGGTGTTCAAGGATTCAATCCAATTCTGAAACCAACTACCTGGAATTAGCATCAGATCCCACAGGTTATGGACGCAGTCCCACAAGACTGCCCCCACTTCAGACATCAACGGAAAGTCTCAGGGCTCCTGTACTTTCTGACCAACTGACTATAAATCTGGGATTCTCACAATTATTGATTCCTCCTCAGGTTCAATAATTTGTTAGAACAGATCAGAGAACTCGGGAAAAGAGTTTGCTTACTATTACCAATTTATTTTAAAGGATACAACTCAGGAACAGCCCAATGAAAGAGATGAAAAGGCCAAGGTATGCCAGGGGTGGGGATTGAGGACATAGCGGGTAAGAAGTGTCCATGCCCTTGATGGCACCATTCTCCCAGCATCTTGCTGTGTCCACTAACCCAGAAACTCTCCGAACTGGTCATTTAGGAGTTTTTATGGATGTTTTATCACATAGGCATGACTGATTAAATCACTGGCCATTGATGACTGGCCCAATCTCCAGCCCCTTTCCCTTCCCCAAAGGTCAGGGTAGCGAGGTGGAGAGGAGGGGCTGGGAGTAGCTGAACATCCAACCTTACAATCATGCCTTGGTCTTTCTGGTGACCATCCCCCATCCTGAAACCATCTAGGGGTCCCCAGGAACCGTCAACCCATTAGCATACAAAAGACTCTCTTATCACTCCAGAGATTCCAAAGGTTTTAGGAACTGCATGCCAAGGAACTGGGAACAAAGTATATATTTCTTATGTCACAACACACAAATTAAAAAAAGATCTCTATATGTGTAACTGAATCACTTTGTTGTACCCCTGAAACCTTGTAAATCAACTACACTTCAATTAAAAATAAATTAAAAATTTTTTAGGGCTTCCCTTGTGGCGCAGTGGTTGAGAGTCCGCCTGCCGATGCAGGGGACACGGGTTCGTGTCCCGGTCCGGGAAGATCCCACATGCCGCGGAGCGGCTGGGCCCGTGAGCCACGGCCGCTGAGCCTGCGCGTCCGGAGCCTGTGCTCCGCAATGGGATGAGGCCACAACAGTGAGAGGCCCGCGTACCGCAAAAAAAAAAAAAAAAAAGAAAAAAGGAGCGGTGGGAATCAGTCCCC